ACACTGTCAAGGTCCAGAAAAGTATGAAAGACATCTTCAGAATAGTCCATCTGCCATCAGTGGTTCAACCGTAATGTTATGAAGCGACAAGAATACTTTTTGTACGCGAAGAAAAAAAAAAACGACTTTATTCAACAATTCGTCTCCTCTGTTTCTCCGCATCACCGTAGCGCCATTTTGGAGAATATCCGCTGAACGCAAGCAGCGTACGCTATTCTGTGTCATCAGAATAGCGACACAAGGATACGTTTTCTATGTGTATTTACGCTTTGATTTGAACGAAAACAGCGCATCCGTGCAGCGCGGCTGACACAGAAGGGTGTACGCTGCTTGCATTCAGCGGATATTCTCCAAAATGGCGCTACAGTGATGCGTACATCTTCATAATGTTACGGTTGAACCACTGATGGCAGATGGACTAATCTGATGTCTTTCATACTTTTCTGGACCTTGACAGTGTAATTTACTTGGCAGTCAATGTGACAGTCACAAGCCTCCCGGGTTTTATCCAAAATATCTTCAATTGTGTTCCGAAGACGAACGAAGCTTTTACGGGTTTGGAACGACATGGGGGTAAGTGATTAATGACAAAATTTTCATTTTGGGGTGGAGTATCCCTTTAAGGTTTATATTAAGCACTATTTAATGTCATTTAATGTTGCAAGAATATTAAACATTCACAAATTAAAACAACAGTATCAGTATTAAATGACAAAACAATAAAATAAATCATACATATGGCAACTTGTAAAATCTAAATTTTGGAAAGGCCTCACTGCTTGTTTTACCCAATTTTGCAATCACAAAATATCATTTGGTTTATACAGAATTATGATTTCTATGATTTTTGATTTTTAATTGTCATATTGTGTTGTAAAGAAAGAATCTATAAAATAAATAAATAAACAATAATAATAATATACAAATTATGAACTATTTTACCACCTCAATGTTTTGTAACTTTGCAAAGCAGCGCTGTATTGATATTACTTATCATATTATGATAGATATTATGACATGCCCACTGAGTACACACAGGTACACCAGAGAGGACCTTAGTGAATCCTTCCTCCTCACAGGGCCGTATTATGTGTTAGCTATTAAGTTTCTATACTATTTTGTGTAAATAAATAACCTAAACATAAAATCGATCATTTTAAAACTGACTTCACACATCACAACATTATAATGTACAGCATGAAAAATACATATTCATTTTGAGATTTGATAAAGATTAAATTATTTGTGCTTTTTTAATTAAGTGAGCATAGCAAAACATAGTATGAAATGTAAAAACGGGAAATTAGCATGTACACAATCATTAAATTAAGTTAAGACTTGTATTACACAAGTAGGATATGATATGATACGATAGAACAACATTTTTATCAGCCAAAGATGTCTTGGGTTTAAAGTTATTAGATGATAGAAACATTAGAAAGTTGTTGGATGTCCTACATGGGTAAATGACACTGGGGTCGGGTATTACCAGGTGTAGTTTTCTCTAGTTGGTACCAGCGGTAGAAGGCTCTTTTCTTCTGCTCACTGAGGTCTGAGCCCTGCTGGAGCAGCCAATGAGAGATCCGGCTCTGACTGATACCTGCAGACAACAACACACAGATTCTAAGGGCAAAATCTGACTTGCATATGCCTCTCGAAGGCCTGCCATGACAAATCCCACAACTGTAATAAAAAGCAGCCCTACAGCTGACATTCGTTTATAGCATTATGCTAGAAGTAACAAAATATTAAGGTGTGCTTTAACGGCTCTCTTATTATACAAAATAACAAGGGAAATATATCACAGTCACAGGATAAATCACAATATATTTGTTATTCCTTTTGGAAAACAAAAAGCCAGAGCAAACTAACCTGTAACTTGGGCAACTACTGCCTGTGATATTCGCCGGTTCCCCAAGAACGCTTTAATCTCTTCTTTAATTATAGCACTGTCCATTCTACAACAACAGAGAGAGAGACATCAAATGAAAAACATCAACACTATTTTTGGCAACATTTCTTAAAGAACCATTTTTATACAACAAAAATGTCCCTAATGCTTGTCTTTAACTATATGTTGTCATATCAACAACCAGTCAGTATTAATAACACTAATTTAAGCTTCACAAACTGCAAATACAGTTTATTTCAGTTCAGATACGACCAATGTTAATGAGTGACTGACATGAAAGATTTGTGACTCATTTTGAATGATTCATGTAAAATAATTTTTCATAAGAGTCAACTGATCATGAATTGGACTGCACTGTGGTAACAGGATTGAACAACTTTTTTTTTTTCAGAGTATTATGATACAGCAACCAAATACACGGGTTATTTCAGTTCAGATATGACCAAGGTTAATGACCAAGTCAGATCCAGTTTTAATGATTGAGGAATTTTTGGCTGATGAGTTCATTTGTGACTTATTTTGAACGATTCATGTAAAAGATTCGTTCGTAAGAGACAACTGTTCATGAACTGGACTACACTGTTTTTTGTTGTTATTTTTACACAGAATTTTGATGTATCATCCAAATACACAGTTTATTTCAGTTCAGATATGAATGAAAGCTAATAAGTAAGGCATTTTAGGCTGACGAGTTCAAAACACAATTGTTCATCATGAAGTAGACTACACTGTTTTTCATTGTTTTTTAGGGCCAGAGCACCGGTGATGCGAGGACCCTATTGGAATTGCTCAGTTTCTTCTTCTTCTCCAAAATGAATCGCATTTTTGAGGGCCTAAACATGCTCAAAAACTCACGTCAGAAGTGGCGAAAATTGACATCTGATATGGGTTTCAGAAGTGGGTGTGGCAAAATGGCTCAATATCACCACCTATAAAATTTCAACGAAGTGCCTCTCGAGCTATGTTTCAAATACATGTACGAAATTTGGTAGACACATGTAACACACCAATACCTACAAAAAATCCCCCCCTCCCGGTACGAAGTCCGAAACCCAACAGGAAGTCTGTTATTTTGCACTTTCTCGGCAAGTTTTGTGCCGTTTTTGCCATTTTCAGGCGTTGTATTTAAACGAACTCCTCCTAGAGATTTAAACAGATCAATACCAAATTTAGTCAGTACAATCTAAAGCCCTTTGTTGCCGTTAAATTGCGAAGATATTGAGTTTGTCAGGCGGCCTGACAAACTTCTATGTTTCGCCATGAAATAGGAAGTTGTTATAATTCAGGCATACAATTTCCGATCTGCCCCAAATTTCACATGTTTGAAAAGATCCTGTCCTGAACACATGCCCATGGCCATATTCAGTTATAGTCATAACACCACCGCTAAGCGGTGAGCCCGGGTGCGAGGGCCCTTTCAATGCTGCCTGCAGCTTTAATGTTCGTATTGTTTTTGTATTGTAACCATCCAGTTTTTTTTTTTTTATAAAATAAGAACCGTCCCATTCCAAGAGTTTCCCACTCACCTCATGAGCTCCTCAACTTTGTCATCGATGTCCACTTCCTCATCTGGGTGCTCGTATGCAAAGGCCCGCGAGGTGTTGCTAACAGCGAAGCGGGGCGGAGAGAGCTTCCCGTTGGGCATAGCGGCGAGGTCCCGTCCATTTTGGACCAAGGGTGCTACTACCGGCACGGGGGTGGGGACCGTCGGGGGCGGGGAGGTGTCATAGCTGTTGCTAGGGGAGGGAGAGAGGCCACTGCCACGGTATCCCGTCTGCGTGGCTGTAGAGGTCGTCGAAGAAGAGGCTGTGAGGTTGTTAGAGGAGGTAGTGCAGGAGTTGGAAGAGGTGGTGGCATTGCTGCCGTTGCCGTGATTGACGCCGGCCGCCCCGTTTCCGCCGTGGGCGTGCCGGTGGCCGAACTTCTCCACGTGCTCGCGGTCCAGCCGGTCGAGGGTGTCCAGGGCGTGCAAGATCTCTTGCTTTGTCATGCCGCTCCGACGTAGCCGCTGCAGCAAGTCGATCTGCTCAATGGTAAAACGAGGCTCATCTGTATAATGGGACATTCTGCCAAGAAAAAGAGAGAGAGCTGCTGCATTAGAAAATTGATGTTGAAGGAAATGCTGATAAAACACGACACATGGCTGCATAGTGTATAAAAGTCAAAACAACACAGCCTAGACTAAAAAGCAATGTTTTTGTCTGAGAAATGCAGTGGAGGAGGTGTAGCAGGGGCCGCATGCGCATGAGCCCTAACTAAAGCATTATTTTTCCAAGAAAATGTCAAAGTCACCGCACCTTTATCGACCAATCATTGCAACAGAAGTGCGGAGCCTGTCTGAGGTCAAAGCAAAGACACTGCATGCATTACCACAGAATTTTTAATAGACTTTAAACAGCAGAAAGCTGGGACACGTGAGGAGGGGGAAGGAGGTTAACTTTAGGGAAAACTGCCAAAAAAAATTCCATCTGAGGCGGCCAACCTACTTTCAGTGAAGAAACTGAGGATGAATCACTCCGTACGGGCGTTTGTCTGAGAATAGTTCTCTCAATGCCAGGCTGTTGCCCACACACGCATGCTTCTGCCGAATTGTTGTCCCGTAACACACCGGATTTCAATTAATTTCGAGTTTTAAAAGGAAGCTACAACTTATGACGCTGCAAATGCAAAACTCGTGCCAGCGCAATATGCATTCCATATGGCAGTGTAATGCAATCAAGTAAACGAGAAAACGGTGAGGCTCCTTTTAACAAAAATGAAGATTTCAACTTCCCTGCGACATGTTCTTCAAGAATAATTTCTGCTGATGAGCGAGTACGACGGTCTCCTGGTGTCTGCGCTGCATTAAAATGCATAAAAAAAGATTTCTGCTCACCCAAGCACCCTTAAAAAGCTTCAAAAGTATAATTATCCAGAGGCATCAGATACAACAAATCAGCAAAAACAACAATAAATCTGGGTGCGTTCTTAAGGATTTGTTCAATATTCCGTTTTTTGTATCTCCCAAAAAAACAATACCTTGTAACAAGCCTTTAGCGTTAGAAACCGAACAATACAAGTCATAAAATAAAAATCCCCCATTGTCCCACGGATGCGTGCACCACATATACATTTTCAGTCTTTCTGATATGAGAATAAAAAACATTCCAAATGTAAAGGTGTCACCTCAGACATCAAATCAGGTTTTAAATATGCTAGGCGATAAACCAGTGACACAAGAATTCAGAATCGCCCATATGTAGACGTGTTAAACCACACTACCGACTTGATGATGACAAACCAACTCAGTTAACTGGCCTGCACACATGAAACTAGTAACACAAATAATTGTTTAATAATGCAAAATGCATTGCTACTTTTAACAATAACAATCATCAAAGGAGATGCAATCTTGCTATATCAAGCATTAAACGCAAGGTTACTGGTGTGCATGCAATTTGATGTAAAAATGATAGCAAAAATGCTCTGAGGAGTTTTAGAGTTTAGCGTTTGCTCATTGTTTCTTTTATTTGCATATTCATAGTCTTATCTGACATATGCATGGAAGCATAAAAGCATCTATAGATTATAGTTATGAAACTACAGTACTGAGGCAGCAGCACAAAAACTCATCTGTTTTGCAGCAGCTCAAGAACAAAGTTGATTTTGTCCATATGCCCCTGGTTCTTTTCATCAGCACGGCATCCACAAAAAGCCCAAATCTCTTATTACTTCAATTCTCCATAATTTGAAACTATTTTTACAGCCCATTTGTTGCATATGTAAGTTACGGTGATCTTTAAAATATCAATTTACCTCTATAGACAGCTGGTAATTATTAGACCTTCATGCACACTGATCAATGGAAATAGAGACCATCCAGAACATGTCGACTGAAGTACCTGATGCCCACTGTGCTTCTACAATTAAAGTTATATCTGTACATAAACTGAATGTGATAAGCATCTACAGAGCATCTACAGAAACATAAACAAAATGATTATTTAGGCCACACAAAACTGCATATATTAAAGCTGTTACTGAAATTCAAGAATTTAAAATTAAGAGATAATAAATCAAATGCGTCCTCAAATTATTTATTTTCTTAACTTTATTTTAGGTCATATTTGTAACAAGCACATGACACCGCCTAAATGATGCTCACAAAGATGCAGTACAACAACAAAACTTAAAAATAATTTAAAAAAATTATAAATAAACACAAATAAACACACTAATTATATTAATTGAAAATATTATACAAACTATTTGAGGGGGGAAAAAAACTACAAAGATTTTAAGCTGTGTCAGTAATTATAATCCATAAACATAACACTTTCTTTTGTCACGAGGGCTTATAAGGAATGCGTATAATGCGCACTGTTAACCCTTATTCCCTGCTTCATATAAGCCTACTAAGCAAAAAGCCACTTCACCTCATATAAAAACATCAACTGAATTAATTTGTGCTCAAACACATTCTTTTATTTTATAAACTTTACCCGCTTACATTATTTTCATTGTGAAGACAAACTGGCCACTCTGAGAAAATGAAATGATATGGCCCAAAAAAGGGAAGTCTCTCAAGCTTGCTGCACTGGTATGTTGGTATGAAGAAACTGAGAATGAAAGCTAGAATCCAGAAAGATACTGCTCAGCCAGAGAAATTGCAAACTGTCTTAAGGTAAGTGATAAGAACAGGTTGAAAGGACCACGGTAAGACTAGAGAAACATCCAGACTGACTTTTTTATTTTGTTATTGTTGAATAGATGCTGGAAAGCGCAAAATACTAAACTATAATCCATATTTTAGCTTCATCAGCAGTTTTTGCAGTTTGTCAGGTAGGTTGGTCAGTCAAAAATGCATCTAAATTATTTTATTTAATATAATGCAATGTGAAGAATTTACAATAAAAAGCATGATGGGATACAAATGCACTTTACATTAGAAAAACAATCTGGATTGATCATATTTGCAAATAAATGAAGCAATTTAATTTGATCAGTTTATGACAACAATTACGTGTTTGGACTGGATTACTCGTATATTGCATAATGCATACACTTTATTGAAAAACTATTAACATATAGTATCTATAAGAAAAAGATGCACAACTTTGAATTTAGGTGGTCTTAATAGGGCCACCTTCCCTAAATAAAAAATAACTGCTATTGAAAAAAATTAATAAAATAAAATTTGCATGAACTATCAAGCCTATATTTACAAAACGTCATCTTAACCCAATATAAACACACCCTATACCCAAAATAACACAGCTCTAGGATGCTGTCAGCACCTTGTTAAAACACAAAACAGAATAATATATAAATATACAATATATGCATAAATAATAACAGCCATAGTAATAAATGCAAAGAGATGAGCAGCCATCAACACAACTATTAGTTCATTTCACCAATGTCAACATAGTGTCAGTTGTTGCACAGTTGCTGGCATTTCTTTTCTAAACCCCTATCCCAGCACAGAATGAGAGCAGATGTAACTTTACATGCGAACCAGCGGTCGAACCGAGCTCAGTTCCCCCCGAGCGTAATTTACACGTGAATGCATGTTTCATGTCTCCAGACAGATTTACCAAATGTCGCCTTTCTTATAATTTGGCATCTCAGACTTACCTGATTGTGCGCGTGCGGGGCCTCCGTGCACCACAGCATTTATTCAACTCAACTGACAGTGTTTCCGTCCCTTTAATCCCCGTCGCCAGACATGAACCAGCAAAACAGGACGATGTCCGACTCTCCCGCTACCTTTCCCTAATTTGATTTCATATCAAGGCAAAAACTGATTCGCCTTTGTCTGACTGACAGAAGCCATATTGATATTAACAGAAGCGCTGCGGTGGTTTCATGGGAGTTGTAGTTCCTCTCGGCGGGCGGGATAGTCACACTTAATGGGAGTTCGTCGAGCGCCGGACTACAAATCCAGTGGAATATGGTACAGTTTCATCCTCGATCATTTTTCACCAACTGCTGCACGGACAAAAATGTCATTTCTGACTTTTTATTCGCTGAGGACATGACGACAGAATGTGGAGTTTACTGCTTATATTCCTCTCTCTCTTTTTTCTCTGAAATATGAATTTAGTTTATTATTAATATTATACACATCATACAGATGTATGTTTTCAACGAGATAAAGTATTTTTTTATAGTATATAGAGTACATATTTACTATTTATTCGACATAGTACTTTTAACGAAAGACTCACATACATTTCATCAGATATTAATTGTGTGAGGGAAAACTGTCAAAAAACCCTAAAAGATAAAAAGGTATGTTTGATTGTACTGGATTAAATGAAATTCTTACAACACCTTCACAGGGGATTCACAGTTTTATTACATACTGCCGCCCTCTAGTGGACATTTACCGCGATCACAACAACAGTGGCCACAAAACACCAAATTTTGGTAGCACTGCAAAATACTAATACAGATATTGATATGACATGATTCTCAAACACTTTCAAAATATGTCATTTATTTATTTTTATTTTTTTCTCTCTTTCAATTTTATAATATTATTTAAAAAAATGTTGGCTAGAACAATGGTTTGATATTTTTGTGTTACCCTTTACACTTTTTTTTTAATTTTTTTTTTACCATTTTGTTTTGTGTTTCACAATTGTTTCGTTTTAGCTGAAATACCTATTGAATGACAACTTACCCCATACAGTATTAAATATGGTGGGTGTTTGAGTGAATATGAACGGTATCTTCGGAAGCTTATTTGCAGCCTAGACTTTATGTATGTGCCTGTGTTTCCAAATCAAATCACATCCAAATAACCCAGGGCTTCTTGAGTCGATTATATTATTGTAATTGTGCAAACAGGGCAAGAAATGTGCATTAGGCGTGCAACAATATGACCGTTTTGGATCATTGACTTTGCATTGATCCACTCACTAATTTTGACAGCCCAGAATGCACAAAACGAACAAATAAGAAGACTAGAATATGCTAGAAAACATTTATTTCCTTTGCTGCTTGGAAACAGGTTGGAAATCCATTGCGTTGCTTTTGCTGGCTTTCACATCACCTCTGAGATTCCCCTGAAGTGACAGCAGAATCATATCCACACTAGTGGCATGGAAGGAAAGTCATGACACACATACACAGACATGACAGGACTCACCAACCTAAAGAAATGGATATTCACTTACCTGCTGTTCAGTCATATAACAGCCTGCATTATGAGATATTGATTTGCACAACAGTAATCTCATACATCCAATATAGTTATCAATGTCAATCACCGAATAAATAAATACGTGGACATGAAATATCGTTTGAGTTTTAATTATTTGAAAATATTAATGTATAGACCTAGCCTATTATTTTAAAGCTTCTGCTAAGAAAAAATAGTAGCCTACCCTACAAAGTACAAAACAATAGGTCTAGCAGGATAAACGCTGCAATAGTAGGCTATTTCAGTAGGCTAATATTAATAGCCCTATATATGTAACCTCTAAAGTAATTTTCAGTACAGTCCATAACCGAGACGCAAGATATCACGCCGCATCACTGATAATAATGCGTTCTAGAATTAAAAAAAACTATGTATAATAATGTAACTTAGATAAATGTTGTTCAGAATGATAATTTTTATCACGCACTCACATTTGCACGATTTCCCAGCAAAACTGTCAAAGCATATTTTATTATAATTCATCATGCATTGCATCTCTACATACAGTCATTCACCTCAAAATAAAGTAAGCAGGTTTCAAAGTTCAAGATACAAAGTGCTGGAGAAAATGATTTGATGTCCTGCATCATACCCATCCTATTTTGGCATTGCACATATTTCATGAACAGTTCAAAACGACATTGTTCATTTTGTTCTGTGCACTGTTGCACATTCGTTTCAGTTCATCTGAAATACCTGATAAGCAATTCAAGCAATTAATAGGCTGTTAAGTCATGAGTTCTATACAGCTGCTAGACTCTCTGAGGTGTCTGCAGTAGCTATAACGTCATGAAACAGATGGCATGTGGGTTGCCTCTTAACTGTCGCACCTTATGCCTCATGTCCATATCTACATACCTGCACAGTGAAGAGGATAGTAAGCTACTGGTGAATGAATGTAATTTGCATCACATTTTCACTTAGATTGTTCAGCTGAACCTAAAAAGAAATGCTCCACTAGAAAGTGGCAGAAGCTGACAGAAAGACCAGTCCAAAAGTCTGACACCACAATGAAAATCTCAGACCCTATAGGTGCATGCATATTCAAAAGTTCAGGGTCAATATTTTTTGTTGTTTTAAGTCTCTTGTGCTCACCAAGGGTGCAATTATATGATCAAAAATACAGTAAAAACAGTAATAATTTGAAAAACTATACAATTAAAAATAAGTTAAATTTTAACTAAAATTTTTAATTCTAACTGTTTACTATTTTCTTTCTCAATATATTTTAAAATGCAATTTATTCCTGTGATGGTCAAGTTTTTTATTTATTTATTTTTAGAAATAATTCTAATATGCTATGGTACTGAAGAAACATTTATAATCAATGTTACAAACAGTTGTGCTTTTTAATATTTTTGTGAAAACCCTGATAAATGTTTTAAAGATTCTTGATGAATTGAAGTTCAAAAGAACAGCATTTATTTGAAATAGAAATATTTTGTAAGTTTATAAATGTTTTTCCTGTAAATTTAATGCAGCCTTGCTGAATGAGTATTATTTTTCAAACAAAAAAAATTCAAACTTTTGAATGGTAGTGTATATGCTATATTTAATATATTAAATACTTAAGATTCAGAAGTATTTCTAGGTCCAATATGTAAATTTGTGACATTGCTCATGTTACTCTGAAGGTCAGACGTTCATAAGATGCTCTTTGGATAATTTGATCCAAAGTTCATGCAGCTCGAGTGCTGCTGCAATTTAAGCCAAAGAAGGACAAGCCAAGTACTATTTTTCAATTAATAGTTATGAAATTCAAAAATTCAAGTTAATTTTTCAGTTTACATTTCATGCGAATTATGCTCATAATATAAATATAAAATATACATTCACACTAGTGGTCTCAGACTTTGGACACCCCACTGAAGATCTGTTCTGTAGATCCCATGTGTTCATTTTTTATTTTTTTTTGCCATACAAAGTGCTAAACCTGATTGCAACATCCTCCAATAATAAAAAAAAAAAAACCTGCAATCATAAGAAAGTTTGAGTCGAAACTCTGTGCAGCAAAGCCTCTCCCAGCACATCGATCTCAGAAACAGACCTGAGCTTGAGTTCTCCGTTCTCTTTACCTTCAGAGCAGCCATGGATATTTCAACTACAGCATTGAACACACACAAGAGACTTCATGTTGTTTTGTTTGTAAAGGTTATATTTATCTGTCCGCACTGGTTTCTGCAAGTCTATTATTCATTATGCCCAGGGCTCCGACCCCACCAGAGAATCCATTGTGCCTATTTGTTGACCCGCATGGCCTGGGATGGCCGTTGGCAGTCTCAGACAGTTGTTTCTGCATGATCGCCAAGTTCACCTTATTAGCCGCCAGGAAGTCTCTCATGGAGATCATCTCTCCAGACATCCTGCGTCCATCAGTCTCGCTGTCGTTCACGGCATCTGTGTCTATGGATATGTTGCGAACACGTTTTCGGATATGGGCTGGCATGACTGCATTTCTACGGGGCCGGAGAGACCTCCTGGGGCAGTGACGACATGGTATCTCGAGCTTTTTCAGGAGCCAGTTGAGCACCTGCTTGATAACAATAGAGATGACGTTGAACAGTGAGTAAATGCAGCAAACGCCCATTAAAATAAAGAAGAAATTGCCGATTCGGAAGACGGTTTGGTTTTCGTAGCTGGCCCGCTGGCTGCTGACCATATCCCCGAAACTAGCTATAACGTCATGAAACAGATGGCATGTGGGTTGCCTCTTAACTGTCGCACCTTATGCCTCATGTCCATATCTACATACCTGCACAGTGAAGAGGATAGTAAGCTACTGGTGAATGAATGTAATTTGCATCACATTTTCACTTAGATTGTTCAGCTGAACCTAAAAAGAAATGCTCCACTAGAAAGTGGCAGAAGCTGACAGAAGTGACAGAAAGACCAGTCCAAAAGTCTGACACCACAATGAAAATCTCAGACCCTATAGGTGCATGCATATTCAAAAGTTCAGGGTCAATATTTTTTGTTGTTTTAAGTCTCTTGTGCTCACCAAGGGTGCAATTATATGATCAAAAATACAGTAAAAACAGTAATAATTTGAAAAACTATACAATTAAAAATAAGTTAAATTTTAACTAAAATTTTTAATTCTAACTGTTTACTATTTTCTTTCTCAATATATTTTAAAATGCAATTTATTCCTGTGATGGTCAAGTTTTTTATTTATTTATTTTTAGAAATAATTCTAATATGCTATGGTACTGAAGAAACATTTATAATCAATGTTACAAACAGTTGTGCTTTTTAATATTTTTGTGAAAACCCTGATAAATGTTTTAAAGATTCTTGATGAATTGAAGTTCAAAAGAACAGCATTTATTTGAAATAGAAATATTTTGTAAGTTTATAAATGTTTTTACTGTAAATTTAATGCAGCCTTGCTGAATGAGTATTATTTTTCAAACAAAAAAAATTCAAACTTTTGAATGGTAGTGTATATGCTATATTTAATATATTAAATACTTAAGATTCAGAAGTATTTCTAGGTCCAATATGTAAATTTGTGACATTGCTCATGTTACTCTGAAGGTCAGACGTTCATAAGATGCTCTTTGGATAATTTGATCCAAAGTTCATGCAGCTCGAGTGCTGCTGCAATTTAAGCCAAAGAAGGACAAGCCAAGTACT